GTCACTCTTGCCGTGTGGCAGATGTATCTTCCTGTTGGTGCTGACTTGTTTGCGAATAAAAAGCTTTCCTGAAGCTCAACTCTGAGTCTGTCTGTTCCTGTCTGGCTTGCCTTCCTCTCTTGGGCAGAGCCAAGTGCGTCCACGACCTCTTTCGACCCATGGCAACCTGTTCCGTGCAAAGGGTGGTGCGTCCGCGGGGATGCGGACGTTTGTCTGATACACACAGGACAGAAACCCATTGCACGTCTCGCGTGGGTGGCAAGCGATGGCAAGGGGGTGACAGCTTCTGGATAGCGCTGCTCTGGAGGGGATGTGAGCTGCTGCCATAAAGATACTGGCACTTACTGTACCTCCAGGCTTGTTCACCTGAGCCTGGTGGCCACGGTGGCTGGTGAGGGAGCTCGCAGTACTTGGCGTTTGAGGATTAAAGAGCTGTGCGGTTCCTGGTTCTCAAGCAGAAAGGCGCTCTGCAGGTTGTTTGATGTGGCCTCCAGACAGGCCCACAACTTCCTCCTGCTGGGCCTGCATCCATGGAGACAGCCAGTCGCGCCAGACTGCACTGGGAAGGGACGGCAGAGCGCGAGAGCGGCTGGTCGGAAGGGTTTGGGCTCAGGGGGAGGCTGGCCGGGGCTCTCCTCCGTGCCCCACATCGGTCTGTTTGCCTCTGTGGTCAGCGGGGCTTGCTTGACCCACGGGGGATGAGCTCCCGTGGCTTAGCTCTGGCACCACCAGCCAAGAACGTGGTGGTGTATCGCAACGGTGACCCCTTCTTCCCCGGGAGGAAGGTTGTAGTGAACCAGCGGCGGTTTCTGACCTTTGAGGCGTTTCTGAATGAGGTGACCAAGAGCATTCATGCGCCCTTGGCTGTGAGGAACCTCTACACACCCAGGCACGGCCACCGCGTCGCTGAGCTGGGGGACCTGCACGACGGGTGCCACTATGTGGCTGCGGGCTTTGAAAAGTTCAAAAAGCTCAAGTGAGTAGACGGACCTTTGGTCTCCGGGTTAGGTAAGCAGCTCTAGATCACCCCTGTGGGGAATGGGTTGGGGTGTGAATGGAAAAAAAGAGGTAAGAGGGGTAACAGACCCAACAAAAACCAGAGACCGGTTAGTTTCTTTTCCTACTGGAAACTACTGGACATATTCCAGATCACTTGGAAAATGCACATATTCCTGATAAGGTCACTTGACTCTCGGAAGAAAACGTGTCGGGGAGGCATGCGTTCTCTGGCAGGATGTTGTGATCGGTGCTGCTCTGCCTCCCGTGCACCTTGTTTTGCGGCGTGTGGGAGGTTCTGCTGCCCGCCTCCTCGGCAGAGCTGGCAGCCACACTGTCTCCACTGACAAATACTTTTGCTTTGGTTTGATGGAGTTTTTCTGTTTTCTAATCCTCGAATTAGAGCTGTTTTGGTTCATCCTGAAATAGAGGGCTAAAGATGTTCACGGCATCACTTGACTCTTGAGGGGGGTGTGTGTGTGTGTATGTTGTGCGTGTCAGGTGAATTGGGCTCCCTGGGTGTGTATTACATTTTAATAGTGGTCAGCCCTTGGAGCCTTGATCAGTGACTAACACAAAGGAATAAAATGTTCTGGGCGTCTTCAGCATGGGGATCTGAAATGGTCTGTATTTGGCTGGGAGTTTCTTAAATGTAGCAGACTTTAACTTAGGCTGAAGTTCTGGGAGACCATGAGGTGAGGCACCTGGAGAATCGTTTCAGAAGCGACCCAAGTAGGCGACCCACGCGTCTGGTGACGATGCTCCAAGGCAGAGCAGTCGGTCATTTTCTCACCGCTCTTAAAAAGGTCTTTTTCTCCCCGCTCTTCAGTCAGCCACAGCCTAGCTGGTGTGTGGCGACGTTGTCTTCTTGTTCTCACAGCTATTTAAATCACGGAAGGAAGGAGCTCCGTGGGACAAGGAACAGCGAGGATCTGCAGGTGAGTCCCTGAGCTGAGTGGGTGCAGGCGGGAGCACAGAATGAGCGGGGAGGTGTGAGAGACATTAAGGCTGGCACTGATGAAACCGAAGTTGAGATTTAAGGCTGCGAGGTGCCCAGGGGAGATCAGGAAAAAGTGCCACAGGAATCAGTAGGACGTGTGAGACAGCGCAGGGGCTGCTGCTGCGTACCTTCGTCCCCCTTAACGGTGCAGGGGAAGGATCTGTGCTCAGAGGTTCGCTGGCAATTCTGGAATGCGCTCAGCTATGTGAAGAGCCTCTGCAGCCTTGGTGTTGCTGACAACAAACCCCACCTAGCAGCAAGCAAGCATGAAGGCAGGGCAGGCAGTGTCGCAGGGCAGGCAGTGTCGCAGGGCAGGCAGTGTCGCAGGGCAGGTAGTGTCGCAGGGCAGGCAGCTCCTGACGGAGAACAGGGAACGGCCCGGGGAGGCTCGGTGCCAGGGCTGTCACTGTTCTTGTGCACTGAACTCGGTCTCTAGTTCCGCACTGTAGCTCCCTGGAAGTCGAACGTCTTGGTGCGATGGCAGAAGCACGCCCACCTGCCCTGCACGATACAGTAAGTGCCTCGGTGTTTTCTCCTCGGAGGGTCTCTGGGAATGTTTTTGGAGGCTGGAGGAGGGAATTTCTCTGTGAGAACCTGGGAATGCTGTCCCACAGGGACAATTCCCGGCTTCTCCCAGAAGTAGATATTGTCCAGGCACCAGTGGCTGGCTTTTTTTCCCCATCTTCCACAGCTGCAGGAATACTGGCTCATCGCATGCCCTGGGTTGTTTTTACTGCAGTGTTTTCCGGAATGGGGATTTGCTGAGCCCTCCTTTCCCACTGCCGCTCTCCAAGAGCACTCCACTGCAGTGGGACGCACTCCTGGCCACGCTGACAGAGAAAGCCAACCTGCGCAGTGGAGCTGTTAACAAGTGGGTATCCAGATAAGGCACAGCTCCTCTTTCCTTATGTGCAGAACATAAGCAGCTCTGATTAGCACAGAGGACTGGGAGTTCAGACAGCCGCTTCTGGTCTGCTTTTGCAATCATCTCATTTGCTTTTCAGGTTTTCCCGTCTTCAAATCAGGGCTAACCCCAATGTCTCGGGTGCTTTGTGAGGAGGGCTGATGTTGCTGGTGGTCTGGTGAAAAAGCAATAAGCAAACAGTAAAGCATGGCATAAAAAGGGGTTCATGTCTAGAGAGAGGGGCTTTTATCCAACAAATACAGCCTACCTTCTCATACATCTATTTACTGACACCCAAGGAGAAAGCTGAGATCTACTGCATCTCACTGATCGCTGGGTGTAATATTTTGGCATACTTCCTTGATCCATCCTCTCTGACTTGTCTTGGTCCTGTTCACCACTTTGCACACGTTTGCTTCCACGCTGAGGGGTTGTTCAGAGTCTTGTGACGGCTCTAAAGCCTTTGCTGTCTCTTCCTCCAGGCTCTGCAGGCTGGACGGAACCCAGGTGTCTGGTGGGGAGGAGCTGGTGAACGGCGATTACTATGTGGCAGTGGGAAATGAGGAGTACAAAAAACTGCCTTACTTTGAGCTGCTGGTGCCCCAGGATTCTGCGTGCAGGACGCTGTGGTACGTAGACTGTGGCCGAGTCGTTTAAAGAATCCCTGCCATGGTGGTCTTCAGCTAAAGCCATCCTTTTTGTAGCCCTCCTGTTCAGTGCTGTCTGCTTCAAGGCTTGAGTTTTGCTTCACGTGTTGGAAGTTTAGGAAGAAAGAATGTGTTTTCAAAGCTTTCGGTGTAAGGGTTAGCCCCTGAAATCCAGAGTTCAGCGCCAGAGAAAGCAAGCGGTTTGGTTGTTTCTCAGTTAAGTGTTCATCAAGCTCTGAGGAACATTAGGCTGGGCATAGAATCATAGAATCATAGAATCA